ATTTAGAACTGACATTAAATCATCCAGTTACAGAGCAAATGCAGGTGGTTTGTAAAATATCAATGACTGGAGATGATATAAATGTGCAGGTATTGCAAAATTTTAGGCAGAAAAAAATCAATATCTGATTTAAACTGTTCTAGGAACTTAAGTTGAGATTTCCCCTTACAGTTGGCATTTGCTGGATTTCTGGATTCCACCAATTGTCTTCAAATTCTGAACAGGGAAAAACTACTTCCTTAGATATAGCTTAAAATACACACACAGAGAGAGAGAGAGAGAGAGAGAGAGAGAGAGAGAGAGAGAGAGGGAACTAAACCAAAACCCGCACCATTATGAATGAAATCTGCAGTTATGATTCAAAGAGTGAGTAGTCAAAGGCATGAACTTCTATACACTACAGATTATTCATCCTTGCTAAACTGAGAGCTTAAATATTACTTGGTTTCTAATAAGTGAATGACATTCATATTTTCCCCCAAATCAAAGTAAATAGATCAAAGTTATATTTCACAACTGTTTGCTGTCTGAAGAAGTGTTCTCTCATGTGGAAAAGAAGAAACTACGGCCTGGGTTAATCCAAAGACTGGCTTTTAAAAGTGATCAGACCATGAAAAACCTATTCTGTAAATGACCTAGGGTCATGCAGGCACATTTCCTGAGGGCACCAAGGTCCTATAGGAGCAAAGTACTGAACTGTAATTTTGTTTCCTGCCTTTCCATGTTATTTTCATTACTATGGCTTCACCGTGACAGTGAAAAGAAGGTGTAGGTTTTAAACATTATGAGAAGATCTTCAGTAGCTTGACTCTTTTTTTACAATTAAATATATTTGCACAGTAAGTCTGGGAGGCATGTATTAGACAGTAAAAATGAAATTCTTTTTGTTTGTTTGTGAAAGGAAAGTTTGTTATATATTGGAATTATATGTGTCAGTGTAATAGAGAATAAACAAAAATAACATTTCAGGACAAAGAGGGCAAAACTGGATTACAGTCAGCAAAGTCTTAGATGGAGGAGTGAGTAAGAAGACACTAAAATGAAATCACCACAGGAATGACTTCCGTGCCAGAGTAAATCAGTCCACTCACATAATTACAGAAAGGAAAAAAAAAAATCTTTTTGATCATGGGTTGTTTGCCACAAGCTTCAACTCACCAAGATACTGGCTATAAAGTCATATAAGACATGCAAAAACATCATAAAAACTAAACATTAAACTACTGGAAAACAGGGGAATGCAGGGCCACACAGACAAGGCTAGAGAAAAGGTTAAAGCGCTGTGGGGTGGGAACTACAGCTGATATCGGAGCTATCTTCCTCCACCAGATGTCCTCCTGTCCTTGCCTCTGACTGACATGCACCTACGCAGCTTTTGGGATTTGGGTCTGGTTCTATACTGAAGCCATTGTTATTCCCCTGATGTTTCTTATCCAAGGGAGGTATTCCCAAAAGGACACTCCTATCTTCCAGCAGTGCTGGTCAGGCTGTGTGGTCAGCTGTGTGGTCCTAAGCAGGAAAGAGTGCAGCCTGGACAAAAGTAGTTATAGGGACATGGCAACACTCAGCTCTAAGGGGCCGGAAGGTGGCTCAGTGGGTGGGCACTGAATTTTCATGTCCAACACCCACATAAAAAGCAGGCCATGGTGGCCATACCTGTAACACCCGAGGGGGCAGGGTGAATATGGGTAGATCCCTGGAGCTCACTAGGCAGCCATTCTAAGCTAAGATTGTAAGCTCAACATCAGGAAGAGACCCTGACTCAAAAAATAAGGTGGAGGAGCCATTGAGAAAGACATCTTTGTTAACTTCTAGCTTCCACACACTTCCACACATGTATAAAACACACACACACACACACACACACACACACACACACACACACACACTTATGTGAGCAGGAACATATGCATACAAATTTAGCTGTACTCATAGACACTGCTGGTTCTTTGCCAGAATCAGTCCTCAGCACTTCCAGAAGTTCTTGAATTTGACTTCTCCCATGACCCAACCCTAGCAATCATCTTTTTCTCTTCAAAGTCAGTGGTTCTTTTTGCTTGAAACAGTCTTAGGCAGCCCAGGCTTAACTTGAACTTGCTATGTAAGCAGAAGATGAGCTTAGACTCCTGGTCTCCTGCCTATAACGTCCAAGTGCTAAGATTGTTAGATTGCTCTAACATGGGTTCATAACCAATCTTCCTGAAAAACTGAATTACCTAAGTATAGACCACCATATTCAGTGTATCAAACTGTCCCTTCAAAGGCTCATATGACACCGATAAAAGCCTGTGTGGTAGTGAAGTCTCAGAGAGACAAGAGGAATCTCTTGGTTTTTAAGTGCTGCTCAAGTATGTGCCAAGAACAGAACTCCAGGTCTCTGAGGAGCAGCAAGCACTTTTAAAGGTGGGGCTGGGCCATCACTCCAGCCCCAGGCCAAAGATTTCAAAAAAATAAAAACTTCTCTGGAGGCCAAAATATCAAGCTCTACGACGATAAATTCAACTGAAATAAAGGTTAACTATATTTAATTCAGAAGTTAAAAGCCTCGGAAAAGAAAGAACATCTGGCCCTGGGTCAAAGAAGTTAAGAATTTAAAGGTGGAAGTAAAACAAATTGGCTGTTAGGCCTGAGTATCCCAAGCGAGAATGTTTTCAGTGAGTTAGCTAGTTTTCAGTGTGTTGCTCTCCAGATCCTTCACTCTCAGGGAGTGCTCCTCCACTCTTACCCTGCTCACAGAGCCTGCAAGATCCTACAGCAATACCATCTGGACTCTTCCACTGCTCCTGCGGGTAGAGTGAACGAACGTCTCTAGCAAAACGATGAAGGATAAAGGCAGGTTGTTTATGTATTTGTGTACACACACATATATATGCATATATCCATGTGTGCGCATGATGTGTGAAACAATAACAATGTAGGAATGTCCTATCAATTTGAGTTCAAAGGGGAGGATATGGAAGGAGTTGGAAGGGTTATGGAAGGGGCTGGAGGGAGAAAATGGAAAGAGAAAATTATGCAATTTTCTTAAAATTTAAAAAAGTACAAAAAGTGAAGTGCTTCACAAAAATCAGGAAAATCTGAAGGGCTCCATCCGAACAACTGCAGAGTTCGCCCTTGGAGACACCTTTTCCTCGTGTTGTCACAACTGAGCACTGTCTGGGTTGCATCTCAGAGACCCTTGGACCTGCCGGCTGGGTCCCAGCTTGACTCACATACAAACCGAAATTGTCTGGGTTATCATGGACAGTGCATATGAGGCCAGCAAGGACTTTTGGGGTCTTCCTGACTTGGCTGTATGGCCATGCATTTTCTTGGCAAAGGCCTGTCTTCTTTACTCAAAGGCACTGCATGTGCATTAGGGGGCTAGAACCAAATGCTGGATTAGTGACGAGTTTTACCATGCTTGTAAGCACATCCCAGATGAGCCGGCAAGGAGCAGGCTACAGATTGGCACCTTCTCCTGGGATGGTCTTTGGGCCAATAAAAGAAGTCCTCTTTGATGTCTGCCCTGCAGAGCATTAAATGAAAATATTCTTGGCTAAACAGACCCATGCCATTACTTGTTATTTAGATTTTATTAAATCTTGGGATTTGATGACTTAAGCCAAGTCAAGTTGTCTTGATTTCCACAGTGAAGTTATTATCAGGTAAGGCAATGATTGGAAAAAGAAGGTCTGACAATCAGTATTAAGTGCCAACAGGACAAAACCAGGAAACAGGCCTTCATCAGTTTAGCACTAAGTTTGCAAGAAATATTGACTAGATTGAGGTGGAAAGACCCATTCTAAAAGCAGGTAGCACTGTTCCCTGGGTTCTAGACTGTGTAAAAAAGGAGAAAGTGGGTAGAGTTGAGTATCCATTGTTCTCTATTTCCTGGCTCTGGAGGCATGTGACCAGCTACTTCAAGTCCCTGCTGTTGACACCACAACAGACTGTACCTTTGAAACGTAAGTCAGAATACATCCATTCTCCCTTAAATAGTGTTTTTCAGGGTATTTTATCACAAAAAAAAGAAACTTAAGACACAGAGAGGAGTGCTAACTGGTGTCTTCATGCAATATTTATATTATGTTAAAAAAGATAGGCATCTGGGCAAACCTTAAAGAAAAATGTTCATTTGCACATACTGGTATGTTCCTAAAGTCTACTCTACCATACAAAGCCTGAGGCCTGGCCTTTGTAGTCTCATGATCACGTTTTTCTTTAGTCCTACCACCTCAATATTATCAACTGAATAAGCTCTAGAAATTTGAATAGAGCTCATTATTTGGGTTCAACTTACATCAAATTTTACAAAGTAAAATTTTACTCTCAACAAGTAAAATTAAAATTCATCTTTCAATTAGCTATGATTGTTTTTTAAGGGTTTACTTTAAAATAATGTTGGGAGAAAATTTTCAAGCAGTGTTCAACCCAAGGTGCTCAGGTACAGTGTTGTCAAGCAATGTAGAATCAACAGAAAGTTTAACTTCCAAGCAAATTTGTGGGAGATTATCTGGATTGTGACTTACACCCTAAGTGGGTGTTAGTATTCCGAGGATGGGACTCTAGACTAAGTGGAGTGCAACTGAACAGCAACAATATTTATGGATAACACACACATACACATGTAGACAATGAAGTTCAGTGGATACTGGAAAGCTTTCTTACAGATTCTTTCTGGTGAAACACTATTAAATAATGAGATGCTTTTTAATGTCATAATCCAAACTCTTTATCACGTAGGCCAACTTCCTTTTTGTAGTTTGGCTACTTTGCTAGTTTTAGTCTTCTAGTACCTCCCTCAACTCACTCCATCACATCCCACTGCAGTATTGCAGCACCATCAAATGACCCCAGCTGGCCATCCTGAGTGGCACTTCACTTTCTCTTTTCACAATGTAACTGTCCCCACTCTCCAGTAACTGCATTTCATGGAACATGCAGCAACTGCCCAGGCAACTACTACACACTAACTAGGTCAGACCCCGCACCTGGGGTTAGAGATGACAAGGCAGAGGTTGTGAACCAAACTTTTATTTACATACTGTATCTAGAAGCAGATAAATTTTATACAATTGATTTCCAAAAAATGTGCAAGAAATTACTATAATTCACTTACAAACCAAAACACTTATCAAATCAGTGGACTTTGGATAGTTCACTCTGTGGTGTTCTCAATACAAACAGCACACACCTGATTTACAACGTACAAAGTGTAAACTACAGCAATCTGGACTGCAGGTATTAATTTTGTGGCACACCAACTAGGAGACTTCCTTACCCCAACAGGAATATAGACTGTTAGAAAAGTCTAAGACCCCACCTCATCCTCTCTGGTTGGAGAATTTGGATTGCTTTTCAGAAAGTTTATATTTGACTTGTTACATTATGACTGATCAATAAGAAGGATATTATAAAAAAAATTTAGAGGATCAAAAAAGTATTAAAAGTCAAATTTTTTATAATTACTGTACCAATACCTTTAGAATTTTAAAGTTATTTGTGGAACTCGTTATTGTTCCTCATCAAATATTCAACAAAACTGTCTATTGCTGGTAGTGTTATTTCATGTTCTAATTAACACTTCACATTCAATGAAAGAAATTCAGATTTAAATCAAAATATATTATTCTGATTCACTCCTAAGTTTCTCTCATACATAACATGAAATGTGCAGTAATGAAAGTTTGCATTCCTAAAAGCAGTTAGAGATGCTTAGCACTGAAAAACTGCCTAATCCTGTAAGATTGCACCAGCTTTTGTCCTGCTTCCGTAACACTGGCTCAGAAACTATGATGTAGACTTTATTTCCTTAGTGCTAATGAGTTAGCCTTTCTTGGCACATGATTTTATTCAACAGCAAGATGGCTGCCCTATGTGTCCGGTTTCCTTAAAATTATTTTTTAGTTTTGTGGTTATTTACTGTGATATGTGATCTTCTAAATTTTCAGATTATTGCACCTTGTAGAAAGAGAACAAAACAGTCTTCCTTGGAGAAAGCAAGGTATTTTTCAAGTACTTTCCATAGCAGTATTTATAAAAAATGTTAAATGCCATAGGAAGCCTCCAAAGTAACGTTTAGCCTCCAGCGTGGTTGGTGGTGAAATACTTAAGTTAAAAAAAAAAAAAAAAATCAGTTGTCACAAATGAATAGTTTTCCTGCTTCCTTTTTTCTTGCATTAAGCTAGGAATTCTAAATGTGCAGATTTAAGAATGGCTTACAGAGCTAGGCCTCTGCGTGTTACGGTCGGTGTTCTTGTGGGAGGCCAAACAGCAGAAGCTGGAGGTACCTCTGAATCTGCCTACACCTGGGACCCTTCCTTCTAATGGCTCAAGCCTGGTCTTACTGTAACTTGTTATGCCACGCTCGGTTGATATCCCTGGGAGGCCTGCTCTTTGTTTTATTGAAAGTAAGTGGAGGAGCGGATCTAGGGGAGAGTAGGTGAAGGAGAAACTGGGGGAAGGGAAATAGGAAAAATTGTGATCAGGGTGTAATATATGTAAAGAATAAAAGTTAAATGACAAAAATATTTCACACACACACACACACACACACACAATGCCTTGCAGGTTGTGTTTGTATCATCTAAGTACAAAAAAGCCAGGTTAACCAACTTCCATCTTGGCCTAGATGCAAGAAGACAAGAGACTGACTCTTCTTTCTCTTTCCATTTTTACCAGACAGCATCCTACAAAGCCAGTATTTCCTGTTGTTTCCTGCTTCTGTCAGATGGATGTCTTGGCTACAAAAATACTGGCAATGCACCTTTCTGCTTGTGAACCTGATTTCTCAATATACGCTTTGATTTTTATTCACAAATTATCAGAACCTAATCATTTCAAACTGAATTAGGACAGGTCATTTTAAGTATGAAAACTCAGAAGTTCGTCAAAAGTTGTTTTTCGTAATAAAGATTTGCCCTACAAAGTAACGCAATGTTGATTATTAGATGAAGATCAGAATAATCTTGATACTTGGCACCACGACAAAGAGTAGGAATCAAGCTGTGTTCATGTGAGACACGTTGGGGACAGTTCTGAGACTTCTATAGCCATGATCTCGACGACATATGCATGTGTTTGGAACATGAAGCCATCTGGACATTGATCATCAATACAATGACTATGTGACAACACCTGCCATCTGGTGTAGATGTGGGGACCTTTAACTTACCCAGACATTGCTTCAGTTGTTTAAAAATAAAGTAAAAAAAAAAAAAAAAAAAAAGTTAAGTGTCTTGCATTAATTTGATAACAATCCTACAACTCTCCACTACTTCTTAATCCAATAGTGAATGCTCGTATTATTACAGTGTATTCTATGTTCCAAGAGGAACACATCAGAAAATGAAATTCTTTGTAACAAGGTCCAACAAACATTCCATCAAAAGTACCTTGCTCCTTGTAAGTCAAAATGCCATAACACTGTAACATGATGGCACTGTGCCTTTTCTTGTAATCTCTCAATTCTGACCCTAGAAAAAGAGAAAAATATAAAGATATAGATGTGTTTGAATGACAAAACCAGCAAGTTTGACCTAAGACCTTGACCCCTGTAATTGTTTTAAAGCATGTGTAACTGGAAATACTTTCTGAATGTATTTAAAGGGCAATCTTTAAATACTATCATATAATAGTTTAATAACACCATTTCAGAATTCTGAACTTGAAATCAACAGTCTATATTCCAAAATAACTTTTAAAATCGGGACACGTCATTCACAATGATAAAAAACTAGACATGCCAAACTATTTAAGAATTAGTTAAATTCAAATAAACCAAAATGCTACCTTTAAAGGACAGTCACAAGAAGAAAACTGTATCTGGGTATCTAATATGGTTTTAGTTTTTCCCTCAAACAGTGCATCACAATTTCCAATTACTTAACTGACATCATTCAGGGTTGTTGGTTTGGGGTAGAATTGTCAAACCCATAAATTGTTATGGTTATACAGAAAAAGATACGTCAACTTTAAAATAATTTTTCTATTCAAATCAGTTTACAACTTTATATAAACTTTAATGTAAGAAAATACAACTCATTTATGAAACTTGTTTTTTGTCAAGTTTATGGAAGAAAGTATAGATAAAACATTTAATTGAATCCCCCCCCCCCACACACACACACACAACTCACAAGAAGCCAGGGTTATCTTACTTTCTAACAATGGTTTGGGCTTTATAGGGCTTTACGTTATGCCAATTTATACCCGAGTTTAATGACAGAAAAGGCAACAATTTCTAAATTGGGCATATATTTGTTTACGATTTTTAATGTAAGGCCATTTATCAAAAAAGACAAACCACAAGATGAAAATGAAGGCAACAGAAAAATTCAACTTCTCACAACCAAAACAATTATCACATCTTTAAAAAATAATTTAGAAAAGTGTTGTACAAGATGTTGCAGATTTGCATTACATTAATCAAGATTATATCAATTCATAATTCAACAAATCTTTTAAAGTGTGAGACTTAAAAAAATCATTTTTCAGTGTATATGTAAATATGCTTTATCCCACATACGTTTATTCAACTGGGCCATTTAATGTCCTAGCAATTCATATTTCTTTAAGTTTCATTCAATTTTACTTAGGATTGAATACACATGAAATGTGCTTTAATGCATAAGAATCACAGTGGATAGCAGCAAAGGACTGGGGGTTGGGGCGTTAAGGAGAATCTGGTCATTCACATTGTGATTATTCTGCACATTAAGGAAAGATAACTCTCACTTCTAGACCCTCAAAACACCCCTTTCCAAGAACGAAAATAAACTCAAGACGCCTGGCAGACATATCCCCACCCCTGAACAAATAGATGACTCTTTCACACATAAAAACTAAAAGTTATGGCAGCAAAGACCTCAATGGCGATGTAAGTCTGTAAACTGTACTCCAGTCTCGTTTCTGAACCCCAATCTCTCAGTAGTGCTTCTCCTGCAAATAATCCTTCATTTTGTTTGGCAAAGGCAGTTTCTGAATTAGGTCTATTCTGGTGTACTGACGTATAACGAAGCGACACAGATACTGCAGAGAGCGCACCTGCATGAACCGTGACACTGGATTGGTCAGTCTGACCGGGTAAGTTGCAGATCCAGGCAACCGAGACCTTGAATAACAAAACGCTCCATTTTCAGAGTCCCTGATTGAATGCTCAATTAAGTCAACTATAGATGTATGCCCTTCCACATCTGGCTGTTCATAAAAGCTGAACCTGCCGTTCGAGTGCTCAATTCTAGTGTGAAGTGTTTTCCCATGGGAGCGGAAGCTCAGGCTTAAAAGGTAACGGTCATCAGAACTATCCCGAACAAGAAAAGACCCATCTGGCACGTTCGCCAGCTTCCCCTCTGCCTCCCAGCGTGTGATGGGGCCCCAGTACCAGCCCTGTTTTGCAAGCTTCTTCAGCTCCTCTGTGAGACTTGTAACAACCATTGGGCCACTACTCTGCACCGAGTCATAAACCCTCGAGACCCCTGGCGCAGAGTTAGGATCGAAGTTCAAATGGCAGCGAACGCTGTCAGCCATGTGCATGTCCTGGCCGGAGAGGCTGCCGAAGTTCCTTTGGATTGGGTTATTCTGCAGTGGAGGTAGCAACGGTGAGAGGGGAGGGGCATCATCGTGACCTGCCCTAGGGCTCTGCAACACGACTCCTGCGGTGCCAATCAACAAGTCGTTTCCCGATGAATCCACAAGGATCTCTGGGCCTACCACCAGGTCCTGGTCCAGCTGACTGTCGTCTTCGGAGCAGGCCACACTGGCCCCTGGCAGGGGCACGGCCGACACCTCCATGGGAGAGGACGTATCCAGGCAGCAGCTGCGCGGCCCTTCCAGAGGGCACAGCCCGTCGTCTAAAGGCACGGTGTACTGAAGGTAGTCCTGAGACATGAGTCCGATAACTACAGGCACGTGTTCCTCCAGGTGGAGGCGCAGGTCCCCAGGGGAGCCAGGACTGCAGCGGGACTCCGGGCGCGGCTCTGGCTGCAGGTCCCGCAGCTCCCTGGGCTGCAGCTCCCGCAGCTCCTTGCGCACACCGTTGACTGGGCCGGGGCTGGCAGCATGCACCAGCGCCTTCACCCGCACCTCCATCTTGATGCACGTCTCCTCCGAGCTGGTGGGACGCAGCGGCCAGGGCGTTGGGCTGTAGTGGTGGCTGCGCAGTGATGTGGAGCGGATGGGCCGTGGGGCGCGCACTTCTTTGAGGCCACCAGGCGCTGAGGCTGAGGAGAAGGAGTCCTCATCGGTGGGCGCAGTGCCGCCCTTGCCCTTGGCCTTCTGTTTGGCAGACAACCGCCTCTTCAAGGTGCCCATGAGGCTCTCGCTTTTGGACCTGCTCTTCCCTTTGTCGTCCTCACTGCCAAGGTCGCAGCTGGCCACATCTTTGCCATAGCAGCTCCCAAATAAGGAGTCATCTCTCACGAAGTCGCCAGCAAGGGACTGGGGCTGAACCACCATGAACTCGGCTTCGTCTTTGCTTTTACTCAGGTTGAAAGATTTCCTGAAGGTTTTCAGACTGATTTTCTTCATTGTGACTAGTGACCTAATCCAAATGGGTCAATTCCTCTCTGGAGCAGATATTCTCAAACATCGGGAGTGATTTCGATGCCGCATGGGTGAATTCTGCCTAGCTTCAATTAACCTCTGGAGCTATTTTCTGAAAAAGAAAAAAGTTTTTCAAAGCCTTTAAACATTTTAGCTTCATATAAAATAACAGAAATTTTAATTTTTTTTTTTTTTTTTGGCTTCAAAACAAAAGCAGCCACCTTTATCCTTAGGAAAGTTGCCCTGAACATCAGAATAACTGCCTGCTGTATACTAAACACTGGGCCCTTTACTTACTCCTCATCTTTTGCTATATGCCAGGACCAGGTCTGTTCTGCTGACAAGGTCTGAATCGCCTCCTCACTGCTGCCGTGGCCCAGGTGGAAGAAGCAACACCCAGATCTGGCACTATACGGTGATGGAAGAACAAGGCCATACCTCGAACACACACACATGTACTGTGAGCATACCTACTGGGACACACAGTCATTTATTTCCATGGCCCTTCATTCTTCTGAAGCCAGAGCTCTTGGCCATCACAGGCACACTGCCTGACTGCAAGGAGAAAAGTGCAGGCAAAGTTACACCTTTCCACCTACAGCCAAGAGCAACTCAGTTACTTAGCAGAAGACATAGCTCTACGTCTGTAAGCGTTTACTAACCCTACCCACACAGCACAGTGCAGTGACATGAATGCCAGGGAGTTAGGATCTAGAATGCCAGGAAGCTGGTGGAAGAGACACATGTGCGAACAGTAAATTTCAATACAAATCCGTCTGAAGCACATGAGCAAAGCAGGCGGAGCTGACTGAAGAAAAGAATGCTAAGGTTTTAACTACAGATAGCAGGTGTTGTGGTACAGACAGAATCGGCATGGAATCATGCTCGTTAAAACCACTCAGACCAGACAGCCTATCGGGAATGGCTATATCCTCCCCACAAAAAGCAGCAGCAGTCGATGGTCTCACTGTCATAGACTGGTTGTGAAGGACATAAAAATAGAATACCTGTAAGTATTTGGAGCACAAGCTACTTTCAACATGAAGCTGTGCCCCGAGTGGACTAAGTATGGTCTTTTCCCCCAGCACAGAGGCTAACTCCCAGATAGCAGACTTGGTAGCTGATTCTGAGATGATCATTTCCAAGAGTCCTGCTGGCCACTATCACATATCTACACCACAGATGAGAAAAGCACTTGGCAGATACCTACTTGAAAAACACTACCAATGCATAGGCAAGTTGATTCTAATATTAAGGGGACAAGATCCAATTTCTAGATATTAGAAAGTAGAAGCTCAATTAAGCCATATGTTTTTTTAAAATCACTTTCCTGCATCTTCTAGGCAAAGATTACTCTAGAATTTTTTTAAAGAGTTATCTATTTTCCTGTTTGCACTTCCAAAAATATATGCCATCTTTTTATAGGATTACCATCTGTCTTGTGCCCAAGTAAGTGTTCTGAATCAATCTTGCCATTTTTCTAATTGCTAAGGATTAAGTTTACGAATACTTGAAATGGTTCAAAGGAAAAGGTTTTAGACGTTTAAAACAACAGCAGCAACTCTACAGGGCCAGTAAGACGCCCAGCAGGTAAAGGCCTGCTGACCAGTTCAAGCTTTTGGTCCCAGTAGAAGGCAAAAACTACTTCCACACTGTCCCTTATCCACATACAAACAACTGTGGTACATACAAGCACACACACAGACACACAACTGAACGTGAAATATTTTTAAAAGAAAAATCCAGACAGAAAATAACAGTTACAACTTTTTTTTTTTTTTTTTTTAGACAAGGTCTTCTGTATATCAGCTGGCCTGGCACACACTCTGTAGCCCAACCATGAAGCTGAGCCCAGTGAACCTCAGGCCGCCACTTCCCCAGTGCTACGACTACAAGTGCGGGCCAGCACCCTGGGCAGGGGCTACCACCCCTTTGTAAAGGGACAATTCCAGGTAGCCAGTGAACCACTCATTTCTAACACCTAAGACACAAATTGAAGAGACATTTCAAACAATGACTTAAAGTTAACAAACACAGTAGCTGTACTGTCATTTTACAGAAAAGACCCTAGGTCTCAGAAAATTAAACTCTGTCAAATGAAGCTAAATACCTGCTCCTAGCAACAGCGGGCTCTTTCCCTGTGCCACACGCCCTGCGTACAGGTCTCACCCTTTATCAGGGCGACTTAAACTTGCCACCTTCCGTGTTGTTATTCTCTTAATGGATCTTTAAAAATGCTGTTTGGGAATCACAAAATGATTTAATTACATGTTTTTTGTCTGTTGAATATTTTCCTATTAGAAACTAAAACCAAGTCTAAAAATACTTAACTGTTTCCTTAAAAAAATTAATATGCTAATGTATTAACATACATCAGTTTCCTGAGAAAGAACTACACTTTGCAAATACTAAAAACAGAGTGTGAAAGAGAAAAGCAGCACCATTTCACATTACTAAGAATCTTGTGCTGACAGAGAACACAGCTGAGCTCACGTCTGCCTCTGCCCGTCATCTTTCAATGTGCTCTTTATCTGAGGGTAAAAAGAAATCCAGCAGAGACAGTGGGAAGAGAAGGTATTTTGCTTAATACCTTTTTTTACATGTGTGCATACTTTGATAGTAGAGCAACTGAAGTAGTAATTGTTTCATATCTGTGTACATGTGGATGTATTTCTCCATCAACGATAGCTGATGTTGCCATGTCTTCCTACACTGCTATTCCTTTTTTTTTTTAATTAATTACACTTTATTGACTTTGTATCCCCCTATAAGCCCCTCCCTCCTCCCCTCCCTCTCCCTTCTTCAAACATGCCCCTCCCCAAGTCCACTGATAGGGGAGGTCCCCCTCTCCTTCCTTCTAATCTTAGTCTATCAGATCTCATCAGGAGTGGCTGCATTGTCATCTTCTGTCGCCTGGTAAGGCTATTCCCCCCTCAGGGGGAAGTGATCAAAGAGCAGGCCAATCAGATTATGTCAGAGGCAGTCCCTCTTCCCATTACTCTGGAACCCACTTGGACACTAAAATGCCATGGGCTACATCTGTGCAGAGGTTCTAGGTTATCTCCATGCCTGGTACTTGGTTGGAGTATGAGTCTCTGGGAAATTCTCTGTGTTCAAATTTTCTGGTTCTGTTGCTCTCCTTGTGGGGTTCCTGTCCTCTCCTGATCTTACTATTTCCCACTTCTTACATAAGATTCCATGCACTCTGCCCAACAGTTAGCCATAAGTCTCAGCATCTGCTTTGATAGTCTGCAGGGCAGAGCCTTTCAGAGGTCCTCTGTGGTGTGTTTCTAGCTTGTCTCCTGTTTTCTTCTTCTTCTGATGTCCTTCCTCTTTGCCTTTTGGGATGGGGATTGAGGCTTTTAGTCAGGGTCCTCTCTCTTGATTAGTTTCTTTAGATGTGCAGACTTTAGTAGGTTTATCCTATATTACATGAAAAATATGGAACGCTTCACGAATTTGTGTGTCATCCTTGCACAGGGGCCATGCTAATCTTCTCTGTATCATTCCAATTTTAGTGCATGTGCTGCCGAAGCGAGCACACTTCCTTATTTTTGAGACAGGATTTCTCACTGAACCTGAATCTCAATGTCCCAATGAGCCCCGGGGATCTGCCTGTCTCTGGCCCCAGCACTCAGATTACAGGAAGTGGGCCGCAACACCCACTTTTTCACATGGGTTAAAGGGAACCATCCACACTCTAGTCCTCACATGTATGCAGCAGAAATTTTATCCACTGAGCAATCAATGTCTCCAGAAAGTCTGAAACTGTATCAAGATTTTTATTTTTAGTCTATTTCACAGAAAGTTGTACCTTGTGCTTGAATCAATGTTCATAGATGGTTTGTAACACTGTGCTTCAGTTAATCTTACAACACCAAAGTTTTTGCGTTTTTTTCTTTTTCTTTTTTTAATCACATTTTTAATTTCATCACTGATTGCACTAGGAAAGTCCTTAGGTAGGAAAAGTAGTTAAGACAACTATGGAAGACACAAATTTTTACAATTGTAAGCTTTGTTTGAATTTTGAATAAACTGGGTCCTCAGCAACAATACGGCCCACTGGTTTCATGGAAGTACAGTGAGAGGCTCACTGTAATCATGAAAAAAGCTAAAGCTTAAAGTGAGTACACCTTAATGTGTACCACTTGTTCCTCTGGTGTTTCATGGGGGGAGGGGCAGTGTAGCCAAGCCCCAAATGGATACTTCATCTTCACTCAAATTTCCTTTGTCTCTTTAATCAGTGTACAATGGGTATTTGCACTGGATTAAATCCCCAGTGGTACTTAAGCCACATGTGATCTCCAAGTCTGTGACCCCATCACTATTGGGAAGTTGGAGTCAGAAGAATCAGAAATTCAAGGCCCTCCTCAGCTACACAGGGAGTTCAATGTCAGCCCAGGATGCTGGAAATCCTGACTCTCCCAAAATTAAAAAATGTATGAAATTTAAGGAATGGTGAGAATTAAATGAGTGGATCCACTTGTCAAAATTCTATGAACTAGGTACTAAAAGATGTGATTTTATTGTAGATGAATTGTACCTCATTTTGAAAACTCATTAAACAAGAAATTCAAATCAAGATAATATATTTCTAAGAGCCATAGACTAGTTAACAAAACTTGTATTACCAGGCTTGGGAAACCACTTTTCAAACTGAAGCCTCCTTCCTGAGGATTATCTAAAGGTGCTAAGGGAGAAAGCAATTACTAGACCCACTTAGGTAAGGCCTAGAAACCACAACAATGACGAGCACAGCAAAATACACAAAGGGTGCAATAGTGGCATTTCTATCTTGGGGGTAAACAACAACTGTCTGCAGAGTTATGGCTGTCTCATTTGTCTGTTCATCAAGGGAAATAGCTATGCTATTACTAGCTGGCTAAAATCAAAAGAACAATATTCTTGTGACACAATGAAGTTATATGAAATTCAAATTTCTGTGCCTGTAAATTAGTTTTATCAGGTAAGAATCCTATGTCGCAGACTGTGTCTGCTTCCTCAAAACAAGGAGGTCAGAGGCTCTATAGCATGTCAAATAGACTGCAGAGTTATGGCTGCAGCTACAGTGGTCAGAATGCAACAAGAGTACATTTGCTTTCCTGTCCCCTCAAAAGTCCCTTAAAAGAGGCTATCTTTATTTCCACCTTATAGAAAAACAAAATAAGCCTTAGACAGTTTAATAAAATCCAAAGTCCACAAGGAACCACTTGAGTAACACATCCACACAGAAAGGTTGGTGTCTGACTCAGAAACTTCTACTTACTTCAACTTGTTGACATGAAGTAGGCCACATCACAAGAGCAAGAACACAGACAAGCCATTCTGCCTGAGTCATTTCACAGGACCATTTATCTCCAAATGCTCTGGATGCCCATGGTATGTTTCCTCATCAAGAAGAACAGGCAAAAGCAGTACATGCCTACAGGACCTGTATCATGATGTCATGAGGAAGCTTGTGCATCCTTTTCCCCCACAAAGGAACTAAAGCTGCGCTCATCTCTCAAGCACCACTAAGTACATGCTCACAAACACTACTGACCTCTGGAGAAGGCAATCTGTGCAGGAGATGGCAAGGCTGAGAAGAAAAAAAAATGAAGGAGTCATCAAAAAGGGAGGCAGAAATACAAAGGAGACCAGCTTCTTAACAAGAACAATGACAGCCAGAAAAAGAGTAAGATGATATATTCAAAGGCTGAAGGATAATGTGCTACCCAGACTTCCACAGCCAAAGCAATGTAGTGTGACCAGAGGAAAAACCAGTGTGATGCAGAGGCACTCCTGTGTTGGAAAGAGGCTGCTAGCTGGCCTGAACCACACACACCAGAAGGAAAGTGTTTCAAACACAGTGTCACCTGGAAACGACTGGAAACGATAACAGTAAAGGTTAATTTAAACATTGTAATTTCTCCTATCCTGCTGCTTTAAAGGACAGAGTAAAGAATAAGTCAATTAATTACAGGACTCATCAAGATGCAACACACAACATTCATAGATGCAATGTATGCAAAACACCAGACAAGGATCAGAAGGACATAGAAAAAAAAGCCAAATTTATACTTTAACAGAATTAACATTATTTTGAAGTACACTATGGTAAGAAATAACTAAGGAAGGGTCATGCAGTTGTCACAAAGTACTCTGAGAATCTGAAGTTAACATTTAAAGATGCATCTCATCTAACACATGAGTTCCATAACATGGGAAGAAATATAAAATGAAGTAAATGTAGAAGATGTCAATGTGACACATCAGTATGTTACATGTAAATGGACTACATCTTTACGGCATCATGGCCCACAAAGTACTCTGTGAGCAAAACTCAGCCCATTACTCCTTCTTGTCTGTTCATCAAGGGAAATAGCTATGCTATTACTAGCTGGCTAAAATCAAAAGAACAATATTCTTGTGACACAATGAAATTCAAATTTCTGTGCCTGTAAATTAGTTTTATCAGGTAAGAATCCTATGTCGCAGACTGTGTCTGCTTCCTCAAAACAAGGAGGTCAGAGGCTCTATAGCACGTCAACTTCACATATTTTCTATTTGATATTTGACAGAAAAAGTTGGCAGATGTCTAACGTAATCAAAGAACTGTCAGAATGAATAAAAAAAGAAACAGTTATATGTTGTGTCCTGCTTGATGCAAACGAGGGTCATCTGGAAAGAGGCGCCTCAACTGAAAAACTGCATCCATCAAACTGCCTGTCGGCAAGTCTATGGGGACATTTTCTTTCCCTCCCCCCACCTCTCTCGGGGGTGTGGAGATAAAGTCTTTCAGTGCAGCACTGGCGGTCCCTGGAATGCACTATGCACACTAGACTGACCGGCCTGCCTCTGCCTCCTGGAGTGCTGGGATTAAGAGCAGGTGCCATCACAGACAGCACATTCTCTTGACTGATGATTGATGTTGCAGGCCCAACATACTGTGGGTAGGGCCACCTCTGAGTAAGCAGTCTTGATTTAAATAAAAAGTAAACAGGGAAAGCCAGTAAGCAGCTTCCCACATGGTTTCTGCTTCAATTACTGCCTTCATTTTCCTGCTTTAAGTTCCTATCTTGACTTCTCTCAGTACATTGTAAACCAGGATATGTAAGCCAAATAAACCCTTTCTTCTCCAAACTGCTTTTGGCCATGGTGTTTCACAACAGTAATAGAAAGCAAACTAAGACATGTCGTCTATAAGATTTCTACAACAGGAATGATTTATATCACTTAAAAAAAAAAAAAGGATACAAAGACTATAGCAAGAGAGCTGAAAGACCTCAGTTAACATCAGACAAAATCAGCTTTATGACAGTAAGTTCTACTAGAGACAAAGAACAGACATTTCAAAATGAAAGTTAATACACCATGAAGACATAGTAACAATAAATGCATATGCACTTAACATTAAGCCCCCAAATACATAAGGCAAAGGTATGACAGGAGAAATAAACAATTCAGTAATAATACTTAAATATTTCAATAAGACAGGTTCCCAGTACACTGACAGACACAGTTCCTTGGAAGAAGCAAGACCATGAATTCAATCTCCAGTGTGAAAGGGGAAGGGATACGGAAAAAAGAGGAAGAGAAGGAAGAAGAGGGAGAGAGGAGGGTGGATGAAAGACAGAGGGAAGAGAAGGAGGGGGGAAAGGGGGAAGATAAAGAGAGTAAGAGTTTAGAATGTTGAAGATCCCTAATTAAAAATCTGAAATATACAGAGATCCAACATTCTGACAATTTCACACCTAACCTGGTGTGATGGGTTTGTAGTCAAATGCAGAAGTTAAAGAGAATAAAACATCACCTCACACACACTGGGAATGCAAAAGAGAGGGGCTGTGTGTTCAGGCACGGATTCATCCCTAAGACATCTATCTCATCAGATACAGTCAAATGTTAAACTCTGAAAAGAATCCAAAATCAGAAACACTTCTTATTTCAAGTACTTTGAGTAGCAGACACTCAACCTGGGACTTGAATGCTAATAACAGCTTTGAATGTTGTTTTTAAGTTTTTATTCTTAGGATAGACAAAAACAAGACTAAACAAAGTTTAAAAAGGATGACATTATACAGGATATGTTCTTTGACCACACTGTAGCTAAATTATACACCTACGACAGAAATAAATCTGAAAAACCACCAAATATTAAGAAATGAAAGACGATACTTCTAAATAATCCATGGGCTAAAGACTAGAAACTAAGTTTCGGACATATTTCAAACAAAATAAAAAAACAAAACATAATATGCTGCTTAGAAAAGCAGTTTGCAAATGGCCACTGTGGCACTCATGTATGCCCAGCTCTTGAATCTGAGGCTAGTGTGGACTGCACTCAAGGACCCTTGAAAATGTTCAGCTTAAATAATTCAACTCTAAGAAAACAACAAATGCAATATTGAAGGGAGTGTGCGTGTGTGTATATAGTGAATGACAGAATAGAAACCAGTAAGGTAAGTAGCAGGAAATCTCTAACCAATTCTTTCAGATGATAGAGAAGCAAAATACTTTGTAAATCACTCTAGGTCGATGTTACCTAATACCACAGCCAAACACACGAAGACAACTGGAGGTGGGTCCCTCGGTGACACAGAAGCCTGAACTCAGTATTTGCAAACCAAACTCGACAACATGTGGAAATTATTGTGATCAAGTTGTAGTGTTGATTTTGTATGTGTTTGTGTGTAGGTTGTACTGTCAGGATTTTTTGTGTGCATGTGTTTGTGTAAGTCAAAGGACACTCTTCAGGAGTTCTGTTCTCTCCACCTTGTGGATGCTGGGTATAGAATTTGGGTCCTCATCTTGGTGATGAGGCAGGTTAGCCACTGAGTATCTTTTTTTATTTATTAAGTTTTTATTTTTTATTTTCATTACAGTTTATTCACTTTGTATCCCAGCTGTAGTCCTGTCCCTCATTCCCTCCCAATCCCACCTGCCTTCCATCATCTCCTCTTATGTCTCTCTCCAAGTCCATTGATAGGGGAGGTCCTCCTCCCCTTCCATCTGACCCTGGCTTATCAGGTCTCATCAGGACTGGCTGCACTGTCCTCTGTGGCCTGGTAAGGCTGTCATCCCCCCCCCCAGAGGGAGGTGATCAAAGAGCCAGCCACTGAGTTCATGCCAAAGACAGCCCCTGTTCCCTACTTGGATATTGAGCTGCCATGGGTTACATCTGAGCAGGGGTCCTAGGTTATATCTATGAATGGTCCTTGATTGGAGAAAAGACTCCTGTGCCCAGATTTTTAGTTCTGTTGGAGCTCCTGTCCTCTCCAGGTCTTACTATCTCCCCCTTCTTTCATAAGATTCCCTGCACTCTACCCAAAGTTTGGGGATGAGTCTCAGCATCTGCTTCGATACACTGCTGGGTAGTCTTTCAGAGGCCCTCTGTGGTAGGCTCCTGTCCTGTTTCCTGTTTTCTCCTTCCTCCAATGTCCATCCCGTTTGTCTTTCTGAGTGAGGACTGATCACCTTATCCAGGGTCCTCCTTCTTGCTTAGCTTCCTTAGGTGTACAGATTTTGGTATTTTTATCCTATATTATATGTCTAATATCCACTTATAAGTGAGTATATACCATGTGTGTCTTTCTGCTTCTGGGATACCTCACTCAGGATGATATTTTCTAATTCCCACCATTTGCCTGCAAATTTCATGATTATCTTGTTTTTAATTGCTGAGTAGTATTCCACTGTGCAAATGTACCACAATTTCTGTATCCATTCCTCCACTGATGGACCTCTGGGTTGTTTCCAGGTTCTGGCTATTATGAATAAAGATGCTATGAATCTATGAATGTGGTTGAGCAAATGTCCTTGTTGCCATTCAGTATCTTACGGCCCGTGAACAAGTTGTTTCAGTAGCAATGATCATTAATAAAAAGAGGGATTACTTGGGATCATCTAAATAGCTCTAGTCCATTATAAAATGAACTCGTAATATATTCTAGATGCCTAGAAATCTCTCCATATCCAGACTCATGGATTCCCTTCTTTCCTGCTTTCTTTCAGTGCTTTTTCCCTTGCTACATAATGCTTGTCTTTCTATCTTCATTTCTGATTCTGTCTCTTTTTTGTTTTTATTATATGATCTTTTTTATTTTTTCAAGAAATTCCTTTGACACCAAAATATAGTTTTGTCTGTGTTTTCTACAAAAGGTTTTGCCATTTATATTTAAGTTCTTGGTTATTTTAGTACTAAGTTTATGTGAGGTAGGGATTAATTTTTCTACTTGGATAACTAACTGGCTCAATATACTAACAGAAAAAAAACCGACCCTTATATAAGGATCAAAGTAATAAACCATTAAGAGCATTTTCCAAGTCAAATCAGCCAAAAACTTTGTAATCACATTAGCCATTTGTTTAAAAGTATCTTAATGCAGTTACACAAATTAATTTGGCAATAGTCAACTTTTAAAAATCATCATACTCTCTCCTGGAAATGCTATTTTTAAAATTTTTAAGAAATAAGAATGTCCCCTTAAATATGATAAAAAGAATTGAGTTTTAAAAATCAAAACCATCCTATGAAAGCAGTAAAACAAATGCTGGCATAGCTACACAATGGAACTTGGGAGAACCACTGAAATTAGT